TTTGTTTGTTTGTTTTCTGGTACCAGGAATCAAACTCATGACCTCGCGCTTGCCAGGCAGGCACTATGCCACTGAGCTAAGTCCCCAGCCCCTATGGCCCAGAATATGGTCTACCTTGGAGAACGTTCCGTGTGAGCTTGAGACTGTGTACTTTGCAGCCACAGGATGAGGTAACCTGTAGATAGCATTATATACATCTGGTTGATGGGTTCTGTTGAGTTCAACTACGTCTTTACTGATTTTCTACCTGCTGAATCTGCCCATTTCTCACGGAAAGATGCTGAAGCAGAAATAGGTGAATCCACTATTTTAGGTGGAGACTTCAGGGACAAAAAGAGCATCACCTCACTCTTGTTTCTTTTTACTCCACCATGACAATATGTCTTCAAATTGATGTGATCAAACCATTGATATTTGAGGTGATATTGATATAATTGGGTTAATATGTACCATTTCTTACTGTTTTATAGTCATTGCACTTGTTTTTGTTTCTTTTTTTTTTTTTTTTTTTTATTCATTCATTTAAGAAAGCAGCATCTCACTAAGTAAACTCAGCTGGTCTTGAACTTGTGATCTTCCTGCCTCAGCCTCCAAGTGCTTTTGTGGTTTTAACTGAACATTTTATATGATTCCATGTTCTCTGCATTTCTGGTTTATCATTATACTACCACCACTACTACTTCTTCTTCTTCTTTTTTTTTTTTCTCTTTTAAGGGTTGCTGTAGAATTTGCAGTATAAATTTTGAACTAACCCATGTCCATTTTCAAATCCCACTGCAGTACCTCAAGGCTAGTTTAAGTACCTTATAATAACAAAATGTTCCTAACTCCTTTTCTCATGCCCCTGTCTTTGCTGTCATTCGGCTCACGTACACAAACTATGATCACTGTGCATATTATTGCTCTTCTTTTGAACAAACTGTTATATGTTAGACCAAGAACGAATAAGAAAAATAAAAGCTTTATCTTCAGCTTTTCCTCCTATGAGTGCTTCCGCTTAAAATATCCCACAAAGGTGTCTTTAAGGGTGGGGCTCTTGGAAGGTGCCCGGATCGTGAGGTGCTGTGCTCCTCAGTGGGTTCTGCTGTTGAGTTCATAATGAAGATGCCGTTAGGAGGCGGGGCCTGGTTGGAGTGGGTCACTGGGGGGTGACCAGGAAGGGTCTGTTCTTGTCCCTCCTCCTCCCTTCTCTCTCTGCTTTCTGGATGCCGTGGGTGAGCAGCTCTCCTCCGCCAGGCCCTTCCACATGCTGTTTCTGCCTTGGAGCGACTCAACCATGAACTGAACCTGCTGAAGCCGGCTCCAATCAGTGGGAGCGTCTTTTGCTCAATCTGGATAAAAATCACAAATTGGCAAACTACAGCGCCACCAGTGGCTCTGTGGCCCCCAGCCCCTAGTGTGACAGCTCTTAGCAGATCTTCTTAGCCACCCCATCAGCTCCCCAGAAGCCAAGGGTCGCAGCCACCTTGGCAGCTACCTGGAGCTCCTCCAGCAGCTTTTACTGCCTCTGCAGCTCTCTGCAGGTCTCTATCTCTCTCTCCAGCTGGTCTCTACCAGTTGCTGTCACTGGTTAATGCTGCCAGTCTTTAGGACTCTTCAGGCCAGCATCCCGAGTGTTTATAGCTCTTCTTAAAGTGGCATGCTCTATTTACTTTCCCCAGAATAAGAATTCTAAGCACATTTGTCAAGACCACCGGAACAAAGCTCTATTTGTACAGGGTCTGTGTTGTCCTATGGGGCGGTCAGCACACTGGAGGGAGCCTGCTAGACTAACCTGAGGAGCGCGAGGGCAGTGCTGCTAATATAAAGCAGCAGCAGTGGTGGGCTATGCATGTGTCATTTTGTACATTTCCCAGGCCTGTGATTGGTCCAATTTCCATCTTCCACAGTGTCATTTGTGATTGGCCCAAACTCCAGCCTGCTGTAGTCGAGGCAGACCTCTTCTGGAGTGGGTGCAGGGGGTTCCGAACAACCCACACGTCATGGCAACAGGTCCATGTAACAGCAGGGGAAGCATCTGCTTGATTGACAGCTGCTACTTCCCTGGGAAAACAGTGAGGTCAAGGCTGTGACTGCCACGGTTTCCCAGGCGTCTCCAGGAGGGCTGGTGTTGGTCACGGCCCACTGGGGTTTGGGGTCCCAGTTCCATCTGATCTCAATCTTGCGAAGGGTGGTTTCCCAGCAGCTCCTTCGACCGCAGGAGCTGGGGAGGAGGGCTGCCAGCTGAGCTGGGCCACCTGTCTACACAGCCCAGAGGGTGTCCTTGAAATAACTTCAGGGTGACAGAAGACACCCCAGTCCACCCTCAGGCCTCAGAGGGAGTAGGGTAACAGTTGTCAGCCAGAACCCGCCCCTTCCGGGCTGTCAGTAGGGAAAAAGTCTGGTCATTTCTGTCTCAAAGTTGTGGGGCAAAATAAATCTCTCTTTCGTCAGGTGTGGTGGTGCATGCCCATAGTCCCAGCACTTAGGAGGCTGAGGCAGGAGGATTGCCACAAGTTTGAGGCCAGCCTGGGCTACATAGTGAGTTCAAGGCCAACCGCAACTACATAGCGAGACCCTGTCTCAAAATGAGTAAATGAATGAGTAACCAAGTAAACCTCTCCTCCCTAAATTTTAGGGTGTCAGATATTTTGTCCCTGCAATGGCAAAGCAACTAATCTATCTCCTCTAAAGCTCTTCCTTCTTTCTATAGATCCAAGTTTTGAAGCTGTATAATTTTCCTTCTCTCAGAGAACTTCCTTTAACATTTCTTGAAAGCCAGGTAGCCTACACATATTCTCTAAATTTGTTTATTGAAGATTTAACTTTCTCCTTAAAGGACAGCTTTGAAAGATACAGTGAATTTGAGGCTTTTCTGCCCTTCCTCATCCCCACTTTAAATACTTCACGCTGCCCTTCTTGCTTGCTTCTTGCATGGCGTCTAGGAAAGTCAGGTGTAATTCTTGTTTCTTCCTCTTCTTAGGTAAGGTGTCTTCTTTCAAGATTTTTTTTAATCTTTGATTTTTTTCACAGTTGGAATACAGTACACCAGGATGTAATTTTTAAGTTTATTTTTTATTGCTTGCATTTATTTTGCTTGTGTTTTCTGCGCTTCCTGCATCTGCAGCTTGGTGTCTGACACTTGGGGAGAACTCTAGGTTCTTCTTGCCTTAAATATTGCCTGTGTCTCTTTTTCTTCTTTCTGCTGGTCCTATCACCCATTAAGCGATATATCTGTAGTTGTCTCCCAGCTCAGGTATTCTTTCCTCACCATCCCCAGTCTACTAATAAGCCCATCAGCCGCACTCTTCACTTCTGTGATGGTGGTTTTGTCTTCTAGCATTTCTTGTTGGTTCTTTCTTAGAACAGCCATCTCTATGTTTATATTATCCATCTGTTCCTGCGTCGCTGTCTGCTTTTCTCATGAGAGTCCTTCCCAGCCAGTCATAATGGTTTTAAATTCCCATTCTGATAATTCCAGAATCTCTGCTACAGCTGGGTCTGATGTTTACTCTGCTTCTTCAAACTGTGCTTTTTTGCCTTTTAGTATGCCTTGTAGTTTTCTGAAAGATATACACGATACGCTGGGTAAAAGAAACTCCAGTAAATAAACCTTTAGTGATGGGTGGTAAGGGACACATTGAGCAGGAAGGGAAGTGTTCTATTGTACTATGGTTAGCTGGGCACTGTGGTGCATGCCTATAGTCCTGGCTACTCAGGAGGCTGAGGCAGGAGGATTGCTTGAGCCTAGGCGTTTGAGACCAGTCTTGAGCGAAATAACAAGACCCCATCTCATCATCAACAAAAACAATAAAATACATTACTATGATTAGTTCTCAGTCTCTCAAGGAGACCATGCCCTGGGGTGTGAACATCTACAGTTTTCCCACCCTCCGCTGGGAAATGACGGCTCAAGGGGCTTAAACATATGTATTCCCTTTCCTTCGGGTTGGTTAGACTCTACTAAAACCTCTCTAGCTTAGGCTCTGGTAAAATAATTCTCCTTGAGATTAGGCCGCAAATTCCAGAATGGAGCTGGGGTGCAGCTCGGTGATGGGGAGCTTCATGAGCATGCGTCTGGCCCTGGGTTTGGCCCCCGGAATTGCAAAAACAAAAAACAGAAACCCACAAATGCTCTGGTGTTTTTCAAACTGGCTGCACTTCCTGCTGTCCGCATGCCAGGGGCCCAGGCTCTTTCTTCCATCTTCCGGATGAGACCCTAGCGTGGTTCTTGGAGGGAAACCCCCACTGACATGTGGGGCTCCCTCTGCCTGGGTCAATGCACAGGTTTGACCTCGCACACCTGCCCACCCCCATCCCACACACGTGTAGGAGCCTGGAGTCACAGGTAGGAGAGGACACACGCTCTGCCCTGACTGGGCGGGGGCCACGCGGGGCGTACGTGCCCAGCACGGCTGGAGGAGTGGGGCCCGGCGGGACCCTGAGGCGCTCCCAAATAGACGCACTGTCCATCTGCACCAGAAGTGGACCCTCTGTGCTGGCGCCTGGCCAGGCTCCCTTTACTCCACTTCCTAGGAAGCCATCTGAAAACGGGGCGGCCTCCGCTTCCCTGCTGAGGAGTTCCCAGCTGCTCCCTGGTGTGTCCAGGGGGCTGGGCCTGAGGCCGGGGCCAAACACCTGACCTCCAGCCCCTCCCTGCCCAGCAAGGCCTGCTGCTCTCGGGCCCCTTCATGGCTGCCCTTCGGCTCCTCCCCACCACCACCCAGTCCCTGTGACTCCAGCTAGAGACCCCAGTGGTTCTCCTTCACTCCCACAGTCCTCTGCCACGCCTTCATTCTTCTCCCTGCCTCCAGTCCACCCTCACCTACAACTCTGAAACCTGCCATGGCTCCCTATTGCCTGTGGGATCGAGTCTTAGATCCTTGTCTGCCATGAAGGCCCCATGCCTGGCCCCTGGCCCCTCCCGCCTGCTCAGACAGAGCAGACCAGATGCCCTCCCGCCCTGCCGCTCACACCCGTGTCACACACCCTCTCCTCCATGGCTCACATATCCGTCTTGGTTGAGTTTTCATACTTCTTTATTTTACCTTGATTTGGCACTGGTTTTACCCACACTGTACCTGTAGCTAATGTGCCTTTCTCTCTTACATGTTTTAAGCTGGGTGAGACCAGGGACCTTGTCTTCATCTCCCTGCAAGCCCACCACAGTCCCACCAGTACCGAGTGTGTGTCCAGGAAGCGGGGGCTCCGGGTACTGTATTAGCGGGGGTCCCTGCTCACACCACGCCTTTGCTCTTGCTACTCCCACCATGTCCTTCCCGCCTTTCTTTGCCGTGCATGTCCTACCTGTCTTCTACAGTGAGGTCAGCACCAGCTCCCACAGGGGGCCGAGAGGGACGGCTCCCACCCGCCCCTCCTACTCTCCGGCATTTCCTGGGGCAGGGGACTTTCTACTGGGCCAGCTGCGTCCTGAAGGTTGGGCCCTGCATCCCTTGCAGCAGTGCACCGAGTGGAGGGGTGCACGAGGCAGGAAAGGGCTCACTCTGCTCCCAGGCCACGGAGGCAGCATCAGGCGCGGGCTGACCCAGCGGGGGCTTGGCTCTAAGGTAGTCTGGTGGCGCAGGCAGGGGCCATAGGAGCTCAAGGAGGACGGCCGCCAGAGCCCAGGCCGGTGTTCGGACGGTGGCGGTCAGGCTGGCCGGGGAGGGCAATCCGACTGCGGTCAGAAGGATAGGAGGCTGCCCCCTGGCGGCAGTCAGGCTGGGTCAGCACCTCAGCAGGAGATGAGGGGCGGGCCGGCAGGCGCAGCGGCCGTGGAGGCGGGTTCCGAGGCCGGCGTCTGCAGGAGCTCACAGCCGGCCAAGGCTTGGTGCAGGGCATCCAGGAGAGCCAGGGGGCCCGAGCTACCCTCTGGAGAGGAAGGACAGGCGGGAGGGCAGAGTCAGGCTGTGCGCTCTGTCCCGCGGAGCTGCCTCCCTCCTCCCGGTACCCAGCTACAACCACATCCAGTACCACCGCCCAGGGACTCCCACCCTGTCTCTTCCTGTGAAAACCTGACGTTGGGTCCAGCATGCACACCTCTTAGTTTTCTTGTGGATGCCAAAGAACCATTCAGGGCACTGGCGGCCCTGAACCCTTCCCAGTGACCTGGCAAGCAAAGGCTCACACCATCAGTCACCCCACCGGTGAGGCCTTGGAGGCAGAGCTCTGCCTTGGAGACAGGAAGCTCTGCTGCCCTGAGCATTTTTTGGACAACAGGGGCCGTAAGGCTTCAGGCTTCAGGACAATGCTCAAGGCCACAGGCACGGCCGGCACTTGATCCTTTGTGCCTCAGTCTCTCCATCCGTGGAAGGGGGCTAAAACTCCTTCCTGATAGGCCCGTTATAAGGATCAAGGGTTAAAGCACTTGGGGTGCCTCACCAGAGCCTGCCCACAGTTGTGGCGGGAGCGGGGGCACCCCGCCTGCTGCCATCACCCCACCTCGCTGGCTCTGACCCACGGGCTTCTCTTTGACATCCACCCCAGGCCTCTGCTCCTCTGCTCTTACTAAACAGTGCTTCTGATTTTCCAAAGCTTGCTCCTGACCGCCCCGCTGTGACGCGTTCAGGGCAGGAACACGTCACCATTTTGCAGAGGGGACATTCAGGACAGAGAGTGCTGGCATCTGCTCATCGGGAAGCCCTCCGGCCAGTGTCCAGGCTCGGCGAGGCGGGGCCCTCTCCTACCCTGTGCGGGGTCCTCGCAGGCGTCCAGTGTGCTCAGCAAAATCTTCCCCAGGGCTCTCTTCGATATGTTCTTCGGAAGAATGAAGACAGGGCCGGGTCAGACCGTGGCTGGGACCTGTGTCCTCGCTCAGCGGCTGGGACCTGGTGGCCTACGGCAGCTTCTGTGCAGCCAGAGACTGACAGAGCCCCCCGCGTCATCCTTTCCCGGCCCCCAGCCCCGGGCCGGCCGGACTGTGTGCCCAAGCAGGTATCCAGGAGGTGACTGTGACCGAGGGAGTGTTTTTATGTATTAGCTCATGTGCTCCTATTTTTAACCAATGAATGAAAAAAGCAATGCAGAGAAAGAACCGGAAGCAGGGCCCAAAGACACTCAGTTGGAGGTGGACCAGCATCTCCCCGCCCACCCGGCTTGCAAGGCCTAAGGCTCTGCTGGCAATGGGGACCTCCCTGCCTGCCGGGCTGGGACTCAGCTGGTCTTGGGGCCCACCCCCTGCTCGCTCCGCTTGTCCAAGCCCTGTGACAGTGGGCCAGACCTCGACAGCCCAGGGCCCAGGCAGCCCAACGCGTGGAGAAGTAGCCCAGAGTCCAAATCTTACCCAACCTCACACCGGCTGCACAATCCCGGGCAACGTAACCAAGTCCCTAAACACTTTCTCTTTTAAAATGAGTTTGCCTATGGTCGTCCGTTAGACCCCCTTATCTGCCTAAGAAAGACCCCCACTGTTTTCAACTTGCCGAGAGGTTACAGTCAAAGAACCGAATTTTATCAGTTGCCTTTTCTGTATCTATTGAGATGATTTTCTCCTTCAATCTGCCGTGCGGCATGTCATGGTAAAAAATTATGTGATGTAGGATCATCCTAGAATCTCTTGGAGAAATCTAACTAAGCCACATCACCTTTTTTACCCTGGTGCTGGGGGTGGAGCCAGGACCTCGTGTGTGTCAGGCAAGCGCCCTGCAGCTGAGCTACACCCTCGCCCTGGTTGCAGTTCTTTACACGCTGCCGGGTTTGGTTCCCTAGTGCATTCTTTCATAATTCTGCAGCTGTGTTGAAACATGATGTTAGCTTATAATTTTCCTTTGTTTGTATTTATCCTCTCCCAGTCTTGAGATCACAAGTTACGTGAGATTTCCTAAAACAACCCGGGGAGCCTCCCGCCTACCCTCCTGGGCTTCCCTGCACCTCCGTTCTGTATCTGCAACGCCGGGAGGCACCTGCCAGCTGGGAGGAGGGCCCAGAGCCCGGCTCCCTCCCCGCATGCGCCCGCTGCCCTGAGACTACCAGGTCGCGGAGCCTGTGCAGGAGCTGCAGGACGTCCACCAGCTTCTCCTCCAGCAGCGACAGCCGCACCCGCTCCGTCTCCACCATCTGCAGCTCCAGCCGCAGGTGCTCATTCTCGGTCACCTTCTGCTGCAGCTCTGCCTGGGGAGAAGGAGGCTCGGCGCTCACTCTGGTGCCCGCCCCACGGTGTTCGCCCCAGCACGATGCCTGGCCTGCCTGACCCCTGGGCAGGTGCCATGGCATGGGGCTCCCCTCACTTGCCAGGCAGCTGGCAGATAAAACACTCTGATTCCCCGAGCTTTGTGCTGAGGCCCAGAGAAGCTGCGTGACTGGCCCCAAGTTGCACAGCAAGTTTGCGCATTTTGTTTCCCAGCCTGAGGGCTCCACTCTTCCTTATCTGTAGCCATCTGATTTCTGTTTGTTACATTTGTGTTGGTGGCGAGCAACAGACACCCATCTGGTTTGTTTACATGGGGGCAGGTAGGGGGCAGATCCCAGGCTGGACTGGCACCCGAAGAGCCTCAGGAAGGGGGCAGCCATGGGATGGAGGCACCCCAAGCCTTTCTCTCGTCCAGGAACCACTGCTGAAATGGACACTACCCAAAGCTGGGTGTGGCGGCTCGTGCTTGTAATCCCAGCATTCTGGGAGGCTGAGGCAGGGAGATTGCAAATTCAAGGCCAGCCTGAGTAACTCAGTAACTTAACAAGACCCTGTCTCAAAATAAAAAATAAAATCAAGGTGTGGGGCGTGTAGCTCAGTGCAAAGGCCTTGGGTTCAGTCCTCAGTAGCACAAAAACCAAAACTGACCAGGACACTCTCCAGCCGTGTCCTCCACCTCTTCGGGGTAGAAGGCCTCCAGGGGGCCTGACTGATGACCACCCTTGACCACCAAGACGGCCAAGACACTAGGGAGTGACACCATTCAGTGAGAGAGTCCTGTGGCTGCCTCCTGCTACCACCCAGGGCTCCAGGTAGCATAAGAAAAGGCCCAGAGCCTCCACCTGTGCAGGTGGACGGGAAGGTGGGCTCACTCAGTCGGCCCTTCTACAAGCAGCCTTTCTTTCCAATCAGGTTCTTTTCCTTGCATAAAAATCCCAGGAGGTCATTGTTTTGGACCAAGCTCCTGTATTGGGCCTCAACAGATCAGGCTAAAAATAAAAATGGAGTCACTCCTGCTAAAGTTCCATGGCACCAAACCCAAACTAAGTTGCCGTGTGACCTCCTGAGTAATCAGGAGAGCGTTACCCGTCAGATTTCCCAAGCAGGCCAGTCTCACTGGCACAATCACGTACAGTTGTACCTTGGTTCACAAACAATTCTTTCCACGATTCTGGTCGCACACCGAGTTGGACGAACCGAATCAAATTCAACGGTTAGGTTCAATGTTGACCTTATGGGGAAATCTGATTCAGTTCTCATCCAATTCAGTTTGCGGCCAGAATCGTGGAGAGAATTGAGTGTGTGAACCGACGTACCACTGCATTCCCTCTGACTTAACCCTTACACACACACAACCGTAACCTGACGTTAACCAATGAGCTCTATTTCTATGTGTCCATCCCCCGCCCCCACCTTGCAAGAACCCTCTGCTCCCCAGCCTCCGTGCCTGCTTCCCTTTCCTGTCTCCGAACCCAGCCTCCCCTGCGCAGCTCCTTGGGACGCTCTGTATTCTGATAGATGGAATTAGGTGGTGCTGGTTCTAGAATCCCAAACAAAGCCAATGAAAATCTTTAAATTGGTGCAGCTTTGCCCTTTGGCAGCTGTTATGGTTGATACATTATGTCAGCTTGGGGAGTCTAGAGGTTTGGCTAAGTGACTCGGCAGTTCTACATCCTGGGGTGAAAAGGACGCCCTTTCTGCTCTAGGATGTCAATGTGAGAAGTTTAAAAGGTTAACTATGTGACTCAGCAGGGAGCCAGGGTGCTTACTTTCTATTCATCCTGAGCCTGTGCGAGAGGAGGGCATGGAGATTATGTGAGAGCTACACGCCCCTGGGTGGGGGCAGCCTGCTTACAGTGTAAGGGGAGGGAAGGAGGCTGCTTGCTGCCGCTCCCCCGTTGCTCTTGTTGCTCTGCTGTTCCGCTGCCATGAACTGTTGCCCTCTGCCATGTGCCACTCTGCCTTGGAGCCAGCCGACTGAAACCCCCACGAACTGTGAGCTAAATACACCTTGCCTTCCTTCATTTTGGGCATTGGGTGTTTTGTCTCAGCAACGAGAGGAAAGTAGGTTTTCAGGGCTTATTATGGAAGAGGCGTGCCCCGCCCCAGGCAGGGGTTCAGGAAGCTGGGAGCGCCAGGCACTGTCCCCTGGAAGGCGCCACTTTCCTCCTGTCATCTTGTCCCCATTCTCAGCTCTCAGCTCAGTGTCAGCAGGAACCCAGTCTTTGTCCAGTTCCTTGTGCAGGGGCCCGGCTACCTGGTTTCATGGTGCGCTGGCGTGGCGGAAGCCGTGATCTCCCAGTCATCGCCTCCTCACACCACTGCTTACCTCACCCGGTTCTCGGAACATAAAATGACTGTTTCTTCAGTGCTGGAGATGGAACCCAGGACCTTGTACACATAGGTAAGGCCTCCAAAACTGCTTCAGTCCCAGCCCCGGGCATAAAATGAGACCAAGTATGTCAGTGCCCAGTACGTGATTCACGCACTGCACATGTCATCTGCCATTGCTTCTTAAACTGTTATATTTAAGAAGCTAGAACTGCGTCAGACCACACATATGTTAAAAAATAGCACAGCCCAGCGCCACGGCAACTGCCTGTAATCCCAGCTACTCGGAAGGCTGAGGCAGGAGGATCCCACATTCAAGGCCAGCTTGGGTAATTTAGCAAGACTTTGTCTCAAAAGAAAGTAAGAAGGGCTGGGGATGTAGCTCAGGGGTGGAACACTACCTAGCATGTGTTGAAACCACAGCTTGCGGAAGTGCAGTGGGCCAAAGCTTATTGTGAGGACAACTGCCACAGCCTGGCACAGGGAATTCCCGTGAGGTAGAAAAAGGAGCAGAGGCCGCAGAGGCCAGAGTGAGACGCCGAGGGCTGTCACTGAAGTGGGGACAGCTGAGTGTGCCTGTGTCCAGCCTGCCTTTCCGCTGCCGCTGGGGGTGACACTGCCTTCCCTGACCTGAACGACAAGCGGCCCGCAGGACAGGCCTGTCACAGAACCCGCCCTCCCACCGCAGGGATTGGCCAGGAATGGTCACGTGATGGAGGCTGGGCCAATTGGAGCTCTACTTGAGATTTCCTGTTAAATGAGACTCCTTGTCCCTGGGTTTTTCATCTGGGCTGCTGGAAGCTCTGAGCTGTCTGTGCTGCCTTCCCATCCCACCCCATCCTTTTCCCTCCTGAGGTCAGTGAAGCCAGGACCCAGGGCAATGCAGAGCAGACAGGTGGGCGCCATGTAATGTGAACCCTGGACCCACCTCGGCTCCTCTGAGATGGGGTCCTTTTTTCGTCTTTTTGAGACAGAGTCCCACTACCTAGTTCAGGCTGGCTTTGAGCTCACTTTGTAGCCCAGGCTGGCCTCGAACTCGCAACGATCCTCCTGCCTCAGCCTCCTGAGTGCTGGGATTACAGGTGTGCTCCACCACGCCTGGCTCATTAGATGGGATCTTTTAACTTGTAAACAAAAGATTTCTCATTAAGTCAAAATCAAAAGAAATCACATCTCTCTGAATCCTGGTCCCTTGGGAATGGGGTCAGAGCCTTCCAGCTACGAGAGACTCTGGAATGGGTGGAGTCTTTGTCCCTGGGGCCCTGCTGACCTCCTCCACGTGCGGCCCCAGGCTCTTCCCGCCGTAGCCCTGGATGTCCAGCTGTTCCAGCAGCTTGGCGACCTGGGCCTCCAGCTCTCCGGGGGAGCAGGTGTGCTCGGCATCACCGCAGTGGCTGAAGTACCTCAGCAGCTTCTTGGCCGTCGGGCTGTCACACCTGAGCAGGGAGAGCACCGGGCATGCGGGGGCCGGGGGCAGGCTGCTCAGCCTAGAGAGCAGCCTCACCTTCCAAGCACGTCCTCCGAAGCTGGCAGCACCATCACTCAGCGCCCTCCTTAGGGCCCCTTGCCACTCAGAGGAAACACCAGAGGCCTCCAGACCTCTCTGATCCCCCTCCCTCCACCTCTGCCAGCCCTACTCCAGCCATTGGCCTCCCACTGTCCATCTGATGAACCTCAGGGCCTTTGCACTTGCTGGTCCCACTTCCTGATATGCTCTTGCCCCAACATCTGCACTGTTCATTTCTCCATTTCCTTCTACTCTCTGCTCAAATAGAGCCTTGTCAGAATCCCCAGCCCTCTCCTTGTAGCCTGCTCCTTCTCTCTCTCTTCCCACTCACTTGACAGAGGATCCAGACAGGACTACTGTCTTGATTGATATTTTCTGTCTCCAGTCACGCCTGGCATGTGATAGGTGCTTACTAAGTGCTTGCTGTTGACATAAAGAATCGGTGACAACAGCTCCAGAAAACGAACAGCACTTCACAAGACAGTAAGTGCACTGCATGCCTTCGACCACGCATGGGACACCTTCGACGCCTCTTACACCCTGATCTCAAGTCTGCACCGAGCCTGTGTGACTGTCCCACCTTCAAGATGAGGAGTCAGGCGCCCGGGCAGAGACACGTGGGCCTGTCCCTGTTCCCCTCCAGACTGACCACAAGGATTAAAGCTGTGGGTGCATGAGAAAGCACCAATAGGGCCAGGCTGGCGGGGACCACGGTGTCCCGGGGACAGGTTGGCGAGGGGCTGAGAGGGACGGGAGAGCTCTGGAGCACGTCTTGGGACAGTGGCTACCGGGTGACTGTCCTCGAGGACCATCTCTTCTCCCCGACACTTGATCATGCGGTGGTTTCTTCTCTTCCCTCTGACACCACAGCCCCTAGGGGCCGGCAGGTGATGGAGCCTAGACACAAACCAGGGCCCTCCCCTAGTTCCAGCCGTCACTGAAGGAAGGAACCTGCAGATGGTGCCCACCTTCCTGGAGTGCTGGGGTCCCTGGGAAACCTGGGCTAGCCCGGGGCCCATCACGGAAGGTCCTGGCCGGGGCTCCGCACATACCTGCTCCCGCAGCCCAAGGGTCGTGCCTCGGCCTGGGCCACCGGCCTCTCCGCCTCCCGCTGCTTCTCCACCTCTTCTCCCTCTTCGTCAGAGGCGGCCTGGCCCTCCACGGAACGGAACAGCTGCTCGTCCTCTGCAGGGGAAACAACGGGCATGGGGGTTGGGGGGTGGGCAGCCAGACCCTGCAGAGGAGACCCACAAGCGGGCAGAGGAGAGGCTCTGGCAGCACCTCCTGTGAGGTGAGGCCACCATGGCTGGCACTGTCCCCTCCATGTGACCAGCCCAGGAATGGAGCTGGCCCATCAGAGCCCTTCCCTGGGACTGGCCACAGGGACTTTGCAAGGGACACCCCCACTTTCTTAGATGACACAGACCAGGACTGTGGTCGAAAGGTGAGCATTTCCCTTTTAGGGCATGGTGACCTTGGTGAGGGAAGGCCAGGGCTGTCCCTTAAGAGCCTGGGTGTGCTCTGCCCGGGGTGGGGCACCAGATGGACCGAGTTGTCCGCTCTCACGCTGGGGACTGTGGAGGAAGGGGGCATCCCGTACCGCCCATCCGTGGTCCCTGGCATTGCTGTGTTTCATTGCTGAGCTGTGGGCATTAGGACCCCTGGGGTCTGCTGTGTCCCTGCCCTAGGGGCAGCCTCGGGTCTCCTCAGGGATGCTGCCCCTTCCTTCGACCTCAGCTGCAGGGGCACATGGGCCAGGCTCAGCCAGTCAGAGGCGGGCCACCTGGCCAGAGCAACGGATGCAGGGAAGGCCGAGGACCCCACGTGTGCCAGTGAGGGCCGCCAGGGGCGGTACCTGCTGACCGTGACTTCGTGCAGAAGGATGCACAGCAGGTCCTGTGCGACATGGGGCCCCACAGACGTTTTACCTGGGCCTGGGACCCACAAGAACTCCTTCGCTATGTGAGCGGCTCAGTTCCTTTGGACTTCCGCTGGTTGGGGTTGAACGATCTGACATTTGCAGACAAACAATGTCTGACCTGCTACAGCGACTAAAAAACCCCAGAGTGAGGCGCTCCCTGCCCCTATGCGGAGGTCAAGGTGGCCTGGCATCTGTGTAGAGGCTTGTGGGTGCTCCTGGCCACCGCGCAGGTTCCGGGACCTCAGAGTCAGGGCGGCCTGACCCTGGATACCCACCGCTCCTCCTGGCTTTTCCCTTTGGAGGAGCTCAGGGATCTTCTGTTTTGACTTAAGAAGCAGCCAGAACCAGGCCTGGAGCAGACTCAGTATGAAGTCCTCCCAAACGTTAAGCGCACGCCTGCACTCATATCCATCCTTGAGCGGACAGAACCACGGTCTTCCTAACGTTTTGATTATGAGTGTGTTTCTAGGACTGATGGTTTGTTTTCCATCCTGGGAATTTCCTGCTGCTACATCCCTGGGCGCACACCTGTGTGACTGTGCTGCCGAGGCAGGGCAGGTGAGGGGCTCTGAGGACAGGTGTAAGTGACGGGCACACAGCACCTGTCCACTGTCCAGCGCCCTCTACGTGGCCTCATCCACCACGTGCCAGTGGCCCCAGGAAAGGGCCCCTGTGGGTGAGCATCCCAGCCTGAGCCGTCGGGAGGTCGGAGCTCTGCCTAGGGGCAGCCGCAGCACCCTCGAGCAGGACTGGGGCACGGCCACCTCTGCCACACACCGGGCGGCGAGGCTGGGCAACGGGGACAAACCTTCGTCCTGGGCTCTGCTCCCCCAGCTGCTGTCTGACTGCCAGGTTCCCTCTGGAGTGGCGTCTGGGTCTTTGGTTCCACTGTCCTCAGGTTCGTCACTCTTGTCTCCTGACTCCGGGCTGGCTCGTGGGGGGACTGGACACTGGCCTCCCACTGCCCTGTGGGCACGAGAAGACATTAGGCACCAAGAAAAAGGAATCACATGAATTACTGGGTCGAACTTTGCCTAAGGCCGGGGTATCACTAGATTGATAAGCCCAAGGCTCCGACTTCAGAAGTTTTGTGTTCAGGCTTCCCCGGGGCAATGTAAGCATGAGGATGTGGCTCAGGAGCAGTAGTCTGCATGGAACTCCTCTGGAAGGGGGGCTAACTCCATTGTCCCCGGTGCACAGAGGGGGACAGTGACAGGGAGAGAGCTGCAGGGAGCCCCTCAGGCCTCACGCTGGAAATGGAGGGGCTGAGATCGGTTCTCGGGCCGGCAGCACCAGGCAGAAGGAGAGGCTGCAAAGCCAGCTCTGAATCACCCAGCCCAGCTGCTGCCCTCGTTAAGTGACTCCAGGTCACATGTGATGAAGTCAGGAAGAGGAAGCCCCTGAGGACAGAGTCATTCAGAGAGTGGGACAGATGAGGGCGTCCTTTGGAATTTTCCAAGAAGTTAAATATGGCTGCAGAGAAGCAGCACCAAGTAGATTTGGGGGTGCTGCTCTTGTCTAGAGATTGGCATTTGCTGCTTCTGGTGCTGCCCTCTCTCTGCGGGACCCTTCACAGGAACCTCGGGGTGACAGCAACAGCCCAGCTTCCTCGCCCCTGCTCCCCTGGCCTGAGCCCACTGTGGCCTGTGGGCCACTTTCCTTTGGGAGCCATGGGGGGAAGCAGGGGATTCTGGGAGTGGACAGATGCGTTCCGCCCAACCTGCGTTGCTGAGCGCCTCTGAGGCTCAGGCTGCTTCTGCGGGAGGTAGGCCCTGGCGGCCGCCCGCTCTTCCCTCCCACCCGCACGTCCTCAGATCCCAGAGTCCTCTTGTGCCTTTGGGTGTTCCCTCCAGCTGGCCACATCTGCACGCCTCCCAGAACCCCAGGGCGAGCCTCTGATGTTTTCCTTCTGCTGGAGGCCATGGCCACATCTGGCTGCCGGCCCAGCGGCTTACACAACCTGACAAGGGCCAGATGTTGCTCTTCTTTCCGTCCCAGGGTCCTAGCAGCTCTGGTTCCATCCGACAGGCCCCTCCCACAGTACTGTGATGCAGACAGGTCTCACGGGCCACCACACCTGGGTTCTGCCCCACTGGACTGTAGCTTTGCTGTGTTATTTCACCCTCTCATTCACCAGTAAGCAGCCAGGGGACTCTACCCTGTGTTGCAGTGGGACTGGGGACCCTGTGGAGATGACCGGAACAAACTCTACACATCAAGCATGTGCAGCTCCTGCCCTCTTCAGGCTATGACATGATTTTAGGCGGCCCTTGGAAGAAAAGGGTGTGTGTGCGTGCATGTACTTTTTAACAGGCATTGATTTTAATGTCTACTGAGGAAATGAGCACATCAATCAAGTTTAGTTTTACAACCGTGACAGTGATGTAACTTTTTTTTTTTTTTCTGGTACCAGGAATTGAACTCAGGAGCTCGTGCTTGCCAGGCAGACCTTGTGCCACTGAGCTATATCCCCAGCCTGTAAGTCCTTTTAAAATTATTTAAATTGGGTTGTGGGTATAGCTCAGGAGTAGGGTACTTGCCTAGCAAATGGGAGGCCCTGGTTTGATCACCAGCATGACAGGAAAGAAAGAAGTAAAAGGAATAAGGTCACTTAAGGGAAAATAGTAATTAAATAGTATACTATGTAGATGTGGGCAAAATTGACTCAGATCTTAGGAGAATATCTGAAGTTTGGTTAATGCTTAAACACCAGTACACAGATGTTCAAGGCACTGTTAGCGCCGAGCTCTTCCTGCCCCTTGGCCTCTCTCTGACCCTCACAGCAGGACCTCCACCCTAGCAGGAAGATACATTTGTGTATGGTGCCATAATTTGGATCTTGAGGCTCCCCAATAGGCCTGTGAGGGGTAGTCCCCAGTGGTACTGGTGAGAGGTGGTGGAGCCTTTAAAAGGTGGGGCCTATCTTTTTTTTTTTTTTTTTTTAAGAGTAAAAGAAGGGTAACATAATAATAGGGGGGACTTACCAAATTATAGACAAAATGGTAGGAAATTATCAATGGTTATTGTTTTACATATTGTTATCTACAAAATAGTTTCTCAGGAAAACAAATAGACAAATAATAGTGAGTTACAGACAAAAGAGGTAGGAGATTATCAAGAGTTGTTG